TTCGCACATTCATTCATTCATCCCATACATACGAAGCATCGCATATGTAGTTAAATGCATCACAACGCTCCATGTTGCGTCATAAAGCGGAAGTTGCCTCGTTCGACATGAGCAACGACCGACTAGGGTTTGAAGGCTGGCCCGCGAAAGGCTCGAGGTCGCCTCGCGTCAAACAGAGCTAGGGGAGAAAATGCAGATGAGCCCCAGCGGCCCTCGCCCAATCTACCCAGAAGCAGACATGGTCATCTCAACCTTCTCGTTCGATCCTAACCTCGAGCCATGCCCATAGAATTTCCATCGAGGGGAGGTCAGCGGGCCACCTAGGTTGGTCTCCGGAACGACCCGGGTATTGCCGGGACACGGGTTTAGGAGTAGTGGAATGCCACATGAGGGCTATGCCGACCCCATCACGAATCGACGGACCTGGATTCCACTCGAACGTGCCCGTTAGCGAGCTCACCGAGCGCGTCGCTCGAGCCATCGAGGCAAGCAACATTAGCTCAGCCCCTTCGGTTGTGGAAACCATGGATGGGGTAATGCATGGAACTAGACCAACCCCTGCCAAGCCCAATGGGGCTCAGAGGCTCAGGCCGCCCGACACCGACTCGGGAAATCAACTGACCGCGCAGGTCGCGGACAGAACAAATACGGGCGAACACCCCGAATGACAGTTTGCGGCCCTAGGAAAGAGTACCAAGATGCTCAACCTCCAACCAACTCACTAGTCGGATGTAGGCTCAGGGGCTACACCCGTGGGTGCGCTCGCGCGCACCCATTGTCAAAACAAAAATTCCCCCGCTGACAAAATAAAAAACTCCCCGGACGATTCAACCCGAATCGCCCTAGGGCTAGGGGGCTACACCGTGGGTGCGCTCGTGCGCACCCGCTGTCAAGACAAAAAATCTCCTAGACGATTCTACCCGAATCGCCCTAGGGCTCGGAGGGCTCTGTCAGGTTCATAAACCCGAGGTCCCTCATGGACCTGCTTCCCAGCAAAAACTTGGCCCAGCAGACGACGTTACGAACGACACGCAACTCCTAGGCCGGCTAAAAAACCTAACGATAGGCTAGAAGGGTGATCCAGTCTTCGACCGGAAGGTCTAGCCAAGGAGGAACGGCGCTCGCTTTCGACTCTAACCCGCCTCTCCGACCGGAAGGCCTGGCCGAGGAGGAACGGTGCTCGCTTTCGACTCTGGCCCGCCTCTCCGACCGAAAGGCCTGGCCGAGGAGGAACGACGCTCGCTTTCGACTCTGGCCTGCCTCTCCGACCAGAAGGCCTAGCCAAAGAGGAACGGCGCTCGCTTCCGACTCTGGCTCGCCTCTCCGACCGGAAGGCCTGGCCGAAGAGGAACGGCGCTCGCTTCCGACTCTGGCCCGCTTCTCCAACTAGGAATACACCGAACCTCTGCTTACAGCTCTTCTCCGACTAGGAGGCTGGAGCCGACTGGGGAACGACCGACTGGGGACGCCCGCTCGGTGAGGACCCAGGAAACGGATAGAGCAAGTAAGGCGGGGCGTTCTAGTCAACCGCAATACCAAGGACCGTACCCTGCACACCTGTAGGGCAGTACTGTCAGGTCATGTCAGAAGGGTACTTTATAACCTTCCAGACATGTCATAACGCCAACAGTGTTGTGGGCGTTGACATTTGACACTACACTATGGTAGGCCAATATTTTCCATACCAGAAGAACACGGTGGAACCGAACACATGCATCCAGCCATCAACAGTATTGTGTGCGCCGACAAACCGTCTTGTACCCGACGGTGTGGGAAACAAGACTAGGTAGCACACACACTCTCTCTCTCTCTCTCTCTCTCTCTTGTAAAGCCACCCCCTTCATCTATAAAAGGGGATGCGCTCTCTCCAAAAGGAGGACAATTCAGACAGTTGATATCGATTCTATCTGCTTGGCTCTAGAACTCTAAAGCTAGACAGAGCATACGTTCGAACACTTAGCGCACGTCGGAGCTCCCGTCACTCTTGACCCTTCGGTCCAGAGTTCGACCGAACCTCTGATACCCCCCATCTTACTCCCTCTCATTTGTAATCCCACAACAAACTTCAAGCACCTAGACTCAGGAATAAAGTCTCCGACCGACTCAAACTGGACGTAGGGCACGTTGCCTGAACCAGTATAAACCATGTGTCATTGAGTGCTATGCCACATCCGATCACAACGTACGGCAAAACAACAAATATTTACTAGTTGGTCACTTTTCGCACCGATAAGAGTGGTACTGCCAAGTTGCTGCAGCAAGCAGCTCTCATAATTTGGGACGAGGCATCTATGACAAAGAGGCAAAATGTGGAAGCACTAGACAATAGCCTACGAGATATAATGGGCCGGTCAGACCTACCGTTTGGTGGAAAGACTGTTGTCCTTGGTGGGGATTTCAGACATGTCCTCCCTATTGTGTGGAAAGGATCCCGTGCTCAAATAGTCGGTGCTTCTCTACGAAGGTCATATCTTTGGGAATCCATGCGCCACCTAAAGCTCATCTGCAACATGAGGGCTCTGGGTGACCCGTGGTTTGCAGATTATCTATTGTGCATTGGTGGTGGAACGGAAGAGGTTAACAGAGATGGCAATGTATGTATTCTAGACAAGATCTGTGTCCCATACTCTGGCAATGCCGAGAAAGATCTTCATAGACTGATCGGCGTCATCTTTCTATATCTAAATGCAAACATGGCGGACAAAGACTAGACCACCACAAGAGCGATTTTATCTACACGTAACGATTGGGTTGACATTATCAATATGAAAATGATTGATATGTTCCAGGGCGGCGAGACAGTGTATCACAGTTTTGACTCCGCGGTAGATGATCCACATAACTACTATCCATCGGAGTTCCTTAATAGTCTGACCCCCAATGGACTGCCTCCACACATCTTGAAGCTCAAGCTCGGGTGTCTTGTCATGTTGCTTAGGAATATTGACACTGCCAATGGGCTATGCAATGGTACAAAGCTAGTGGTGCGGGGGTTCCGAAGAAATACAGTCGATGCAAAAATCGTGGTGGGGCAACATGCTGGAAAGCGGGTATTCCTTCCTCAAATACCGCTATGTTTGTCTAATGATGAGATGTTTCCGTTCCAGTTTAAGAGGAAGTAGTTTCCTATCAGGCTGAGCTTTGCCATGACGGTCAACAAGTCACAGGGCCAAACTATCCCAAACGTGGGTGTGTACCTGCCCGCACCGGTGTTCTCTCACGGTCAGTTGTACGTTGCGATGTTTAGAGCCACATCAAGAACAAATATTAAGATCCTTGCCCTCCCGCCTGATGCGGATGCACAGGAGGAGGCCAAAAAGATGGAAAGGAAAAATGCTAAAAAGAATGCTGAGGAAAAAAATAAGAATGCGTCAAATAAAAAAGATAAGGATAAGAAGACCCCTAATAGTGGATGAAACTTTCACGAAGAATATTGTATTTAAGAAGGTTTTAACGCCATAGGCGAGGAAACATAACATTACTAACGCATACAATGTATTTTTCATTCAATTTAATATTGCACAAATAGTATCTCACTAACACCATATTTGTTGCTGTTACTAGGGACTTTTAAATGGGTTATCAGACTCTACGGAGAGATGTATACACACTACATGCCAACTGAAAAATCATCCGTACAAGTTAGATTTACATTTCAAGAACAATGTCGTGTAACACGTTTATATTTATTCAAATATTATATTTAAGTTTGTATATACGTTTGTATATACAGCCGCTTGTGTGTTGTTCATCCTGAACGCTTGAAGGCTAATCAACTATGTGTGAGATTACTAAATTAATAAATTATGTGTGACATTGTGAGATAAATTAATAAATTATGTGTGACATTGTGAGATTATTAAATTAATAAACTATGTGTGATGGCATAATGAAAATTGATAATGTGTTATATTATTGTTACAAAAATGACACTTTGAGTGTTTTATTCATAATATTTCGTTTTGTAACCATTCATAACTATTACATATGTATGTTCTTAAAACCATGAGTTTTGTCGACTTCCTCCACTTTTCTCATGTGTCAATTTGGGATTAACCGAATTAGCACCTATATAATTACAAAAATAAATTACTTGAATAAAATCAATAAAGCAAGTTAGCTGTAATAATGAACAATAGTGCTAAACAACACCATACCAGTGTTGATCTACTCCAGTTGTTCACCGTGACTCTGTTTTCATTTTAGAGTTTTAGTTTCATTAGAATGTCTTCCCTTTCGGTTTCAGTTTCATTAGATTTTAGCTTTGTTTCAGTTTCTTCAGTTCAGGTTATAGTCAGCCTGACACATGTGTTTGGTTCATGCGTAGGCAAGTCCGAGTCCTGCACGGCTCTTGCGTGGTCGTGGGAAGGCACGATCGTAGTGGCGCTGGTTCCGTGTATTCAGGAGGATAGCTCTTTGTATTTCCCTTTATTTACTAGATATATGCTAGTATGTTGCACCAGGGTCATGAGTTTTTCATGAAATCTACAAGACTAAAAACATAGAAAATATAAAACACACTTATTGATCTTTATCACCTATAATATGTGTTGATATGATTAATTAGAAACTCAATTGGATAATAATCAAATTAATATTTTAATCAATAATTAAGAGACATGAAGAATGTTAGAAATTCTACGTAGAGCTCGAAGCTATGAAACTAACACAATGAGAACTACTTTAATCTGAGTTGAAATGATTACACGACGGAGATTTGAAGGTCGGTGGCAAACCAACCTCCTCCGTGAAGTGCGTTAGGAAGAACAAAAAGAAGGGAGGGAAAGGGTGGTGCTCGATCTGTGGCAGGGAGGAGGGATTGGCCGGGCTAGGATTTTCTTTCCCCTCCTCAATCCGTCAATCATTGCATGCCCTTCCATATTAATTTTTTCCTTTTCTTGGCCAATCACGGCATTACAAATTACCCATTGCTTTCGGTCCAGCCACAGCCGACCGGCGGCAACTAGCAGCGGCTGGGCGCCGTGGTGCTCACGAGGAGCATGGCGACACGGCGGACGCTACTGGCGCTCCCGTACGAAATAGTCATCGAGATCGCCGGGCTTGTCGCCGCGACCTCGCCGCACACGATGGAGGACCTCTGCAGCCTCCGTGGCACGTACATGTCCACAGTCCACCAACGCATGAGTCGCATTACCTACAATTTAATTTGTCTACCTGTACCGTGCATGTGTCTTTGCAGTTGCCAGACCATGCGCGCGGCATGCATGGAGCGCGTCGTCAGGAGCCACGTAGCGCTAGAGCGGGAGGAATCCATGAGGTGGCTCGACCCCAACCGCTACCTCGCCCTCGTCGACAAACTGGCCGCCGCCGGCAACTCGGAGGCTTGCTTCGTGCTCGGGCTCAGGCTCGTCTTCACGCAGTGCCGCACGGACCCCGTCGGCACTGCCTGCCTCAGACAGGCGGCCGCCGCTAACCACAAGGTGGCGGCCTACGTGCTCGGCGTCCTCCTTTACGGGGACAACGAGGCCGAGCAATACATCAGGAAGGTGGAGGGCGAGGACATCGCCCACGGGTGCAAGCCGGAGGCCAGCAGGACCAACCGGGAGTGCGTGAGGTGCCACGAGCAAGCTGTCGACGCGGTCAGGGAGGTGTTATGGAGGGTGGACGGAATGATGGACCCGGTGTCGGTTTCGCCGCCGGAGGTAGGTTGCAAGGGTAGCGGCTGCGGCATGGCGGAAGGATGGACCGGCGGCTGCGCTATCTTTTGTAGCCACGGCTGCAGGATTAGGCACAAGTACTCTAGGTTCTTCTCGCGAGTCTCATCATTCCTGAACTAAAACATCTTCTAATCCTCCGGTTTTGCGTAGGACTCAGTCAGGATTATTGGCTAGAGAATAATAAAATGATCATTTATGTTCCATGTGATTTTGAGTCATATTCCTGATTAGATTTACATTTCAAGAAAAATGTCATGTAACACGTTTATATTTACTCGAATATTACATTTAAGTTTGTATATACCGTCGCTTGTGCATGGCGCTCATCCGAACGCTTGACGGCAACTACGTGTGAGATTAATAAATTAAAAAAAAACTATGTGGACTGCGGCAAGCTCGCAACAAATGACGCGCTACAGGCAATCGCTTGCAGTCGCGGCCGTCGTCGACAAGCGCCCAACAAATGATGCGCTGAAGGCCATCGCTCGCAGTCTACGGCGCATGCTAGCGCTTTGTTTAAAAAAAAACAGGTGTTCAGAAATCATAATCTCGCTATCTCTATCGACCAAATGGGATCTGCGTGCGATCCCCACCCGGCAATAGAAATGTTAAACTAACGGAGTCGATCACGGTAAAATAGGAGGTAGGAAATTATTGTGCTATCTATGTACAGATTGCATGTTTGCATGCACAACAATAGTGGCGTGTCGTCGGATAGCTAACATGCATGGATGCCCAGCAGCATCAGCGGCACCAGCATACATGGCAACGAGCCTCTCCCAGCTTCCCATGTGCCTTGCTCCAACATAGAAGGAAAGAGAATTTGAATCATCAATCCCCCGGTGACCTCGGTCTTGCACTCCCGCCCGGTCGCCCCCAACAAAAAAGGAAAGAGAGAGACTGCTATCAATCATTCGCTATAAATCATGTGGCCTCGCCATAACGCCCACCCTCGCCAGCTGACCTCCCCCTCGCTCGCACCAGTCTCTGCCCTCGCGCCCTCCCTCGCGCACCGGCTGTGCTTCGCCATATCGTGTCGCCATCGTCGTCGCCTGCCGCCATCGCCTTCGCCGTCTTGCTGTGCCCTCGAGGAGGACTGCGGACTGCCACGAGGAGCTTCCAACACCTTCTGTCTTCCACGGACGTCCACCCTGTTAGTGAATCCCATCCTGCCCTGATGCGTTTCTTTAATTGTTATTGCCTCCAGTTCATGCTTGTGTGATCCGGAATACTGCCTCTTTAAGAGTCTTGAACATTTTCTTATTCGAATTTTCTGTGCTCTTGGTGATCTATTCAATTTGTTTGTTGATGAATTAGGTAAGACGATTCATTCGAATTTTCTGTGCACTTGGCTTTGTTTGCCTGGAGGGAGTACTATGATATAGCATGCCTGAAAAGATAGTAGTAGCTCGTCACTGGCATGTTGCCAAGTCTCTACAACTAAAAAGTCTATTATTAGCTTTTGTGTACTTCAGTTTTGAGGAAATTTTATTTACACTGAACTAACCATTATTTGTGTACGGGTTAAGCCATTTCAATATATATTCTGTTACCCCACCTGCAGTTGGTTATGATAGGGTGTGTGCTATGTATAAGCTAGAAACTGAGTATTTGTCTTACTCCTCCATCCCAAATTGTAAGTCATTTCAAGAATCTTGGAGAGTCAAAGTTTTTCAAGTTTGACTAAATTTATATAACAAAATAATAATATTTATCATACCAAGTAAGTATTATTAGATTCTTCATTAGTTATATTTTCATATTATACCTATTTGATGTCATCAATCTTTGTGTTTCTCTCTATAATTTTAGTCAAATTTGAAAAAGTTTGACTCTACAAGATTCTTGGAATGACTTACAATTTGGGATGGAGGGAGTATTATTTTACAGTCTGAATATTAGCGCGCCTGCAGTTGGTAGGAACCTGAGCAGTTGGTTCCGATAGGGTTGGAATTCTATTGGATTTCATGTGGTATGAACCTTTTGGCAATAGCAAAGCTGACCGTCTGCGGAACAGCCAACCAGGGATTTTCACTTTTGTTTATTTTCCTCACATGTGTTCACTTCTGCACTGGAAAGTTGTTTTCATATGTACCTTATTTCCTTATAATGCTGTCAAAGTATTCTGATGCTGTTTTAGATATTTTATTTAAAAATGTGGTGATTTGGTATATGCACTATATATAATAATCTGAAATTACCATTAGTCATGGTAATGAGATGTTACTTGGAGAAATGGCATCTGAATTTTGGATTGCAGGACTTTTTTGTTTGCTTATATAATCTATCAGCCGTGTGATTTCTAATATATTAAGGTCCCAGATTTGCAGGCTCTGTGGTTTTGGTTCATCACTGCTCCCTCAGGCTTCACGCCGTCTCCAACGCAAGCCTCGCCGTCCACGAACCTGCCGCCGGCAACGGTGCATTAACAGCTAGCACAAGTCGATCAGGGCTGGTCACGACACCATTGGCCAGGGCTACCTGCAGTCCAGGTCTGCCTCCCTACCATTCCTTTCTCTGTCCAAAACCTGATACTATATGCATGGCATGATTGCCGTTTTAAAATTTTTGAATATGTTTTTAATTAATTAAGGTAGATATGCATGTTTGATATCCCTCAACTAAATTATTTAGTTCGATAATCAGTTAATCGTTCATACTAATTTGGGACCAAACCGTTATTATTTATTTCGGGGCTACCTGCTTTACACCAAGGCAAAGCTGTCTGGTGTGAGCACTGCTCCCAGATGTCCGATTTCGGGCGCCTAGGAGCATCAGCACAAGCATACAAGTCACGCTTCACAAGCACTAACTAGGTGTCTGGTTCAGATTAGAAGGCTGAACCGAACGTGGTCCCGTTCGCTGGTTTGAAACTGGACTGAAACTGGCTAAAAAAACATTGTTCCGGCTGAATTATTGGAAGAGAAAAACACTGTTCCGGCTGAAAAAAAAAGCCGAACAAATTGAATATGGAGTAAACTGAACGGGCCTAAACTTCAGGTTGGAGTGCTTTGCAGCCTACGCAGATCCTGGGAGTATCTCTGCCACAGTTTCACGTTCACGGCTGCACAATACTAAGGCCCCGTTTAGTTCCGAAAATTTTTGGCTTTTGGCTACTGTAGCACTTTCGTTTTTATTTGGCAAAAATTGTCTAATTATGGACTATTTAGGCTTAAAAGATTCGTCTCACGATTTCTCGGCTAACTGTGTAATTAATTTTTTTTTTGTCTACATTTAATACTCCATGCATATGCCGCAAGATTTGATGTGACGGAGAATCTTGAAAATTTTTGGTTTTGAAATTGGAACTAAACGGGGCCTAATCTAGAAATCCCAATCAAAGTCGAGCAGAGGAGCTCACCTTTTTGGGCTGCACGCGAGCGACTCAGCGACGACGAGAGTCACGCGACACACGGAAACGTGATAATTTCTATCTTTTTGGGCTTGGTTCCTTCGTGGGCTGCCAGAATTGGTTGTTGTATTGGGCCTATAAACCATATTTGCATAATATAGTGTGTATATATATATATATATATTTGGGTTTGATTAAATCAGCTAAATAATTATCGCTATTTTTGTTTGGGTATTCAATTGAACAGAACAAACCTATATGATTTCATTATTAGTGCTTAGAAAACTAAACTGAGAGTATCGGTGCGAAAAGTGACCAACAAGTGAATATTTATAGTTTTACCATACGTTGTGATCGGATATGGCCTAGCACTCAATGACATAGGGTTTATACTGGTTCAGGCAACGTGCCATACGTCCAGTTTCAGTCGGTCGGTGACTTTATTCCTGAGCCCAGGTGATCGAAGTTTGTTGTGGGGTTACAAACGAGTGGGAATAAGATGGGATTGTTAGAGGTTCGGTCGGACTCTGGACCAAAGTGCCAAGAGTGACGGGAGCTCCTACGTGTGCTGAGTATTGGAACGTATACTCTGTGTAGCTTTAGAGTTCTAGAGCCGTGGAGCTGTTCGAGTGCTCAGAATATCTAAAGCTAGGAGAGAGAGAGTCGGAATGATCCGTCCTTTTTAGGAGAGATGCGCATCCCCTTTTATAAGTGAAGTTGATGGCCTTACAAGTGAGAGAGAGAGTGGTCTTGTTGCCCACATCGTCTGTCGGCACGAAAACGTGTCAATCGTGCCGGACACACGAGCAAGCCGGAAGGGTTTGCTCGATGGAGCTAGAGATCCGCTCTGGTTTCAACGTAAGGATGATCAATCCTGCGTACTCCTCCCGAGACGTGCCAGTCAATTTGATCCTACAATTGACAAGGAGAGAAAGTTTATCAGTAATTTAAGGTGGAATGTGCTGGTCCGTGCCCAAACAGTTCCAAGTGTGTTGCTTCGAGAGCAGCCATACGGGAAAAAGCGACTGAATAGCTGATCCGCACAGAAATCGGCTATTACAGACTGTAAAAGCTCGTGGGTAGCAATTGATTTTATGTTGATAGGTATAATACACGCATATGTAATTGAGATCATCAGTTCGGTGGATATTATCAATATGAATTATTGAGCCGATGAATCTGACGATAAAGGATATAGCACGTGAACAAATCAACTATCTAAATGAACGGATCTACAGATGCTCTGAATCCAATCTGTTACCATCAACAGTGAGGTTCGACCGGATCGATGGTAGCTATGATGATAATAACAAACTAAAACCGAAGAATCCATAAAACCATCTACACTTCGATAGACTTTTCGAAAGACATGCTATACATGAAGGCTCGGATGAATCGGCTAAAATAGCCGATTCAGTTGAAGAGAACTATAGCGTGTGAACAATCGACTATTTCACGTGAATAAACCTATGGACTCCTCAGACTCAACCCGCTATCTCTAACAGTAGGGTTTAACTGGATCGATGCAGCCGTGAAAAAGACAATGAATCAAACCCTTAAAGTACACAGATCTACTCACGCTTAACGGAAATCATGTAAACATGCTGTAGGTGTTAACGCACAGGCAATCGGCTATTTAGCCGATGCAGGCATAGTAAACAGCTAAGGTCACGCATAACCAAGGATAAATCTATTAACTAGCATCCTCCAATCTACAGTGCCATCAGTGGGGATCGACCGGATCGTTACAGCCATAATGGTGAACCAT